AAAACTTTGCAGGAAAATATTTTTTTTTGCAGCGATGCTGGATAGCCCTCACGACAGACTTCTGGAGGAGACAACCACATTGAATAATCCTCATGGGAGACTGCTTCAGTGAAAATTGCAGGAAATCTTCACAAGTGACAGCTATGCGGGTTACTGCTTAAGGGAGACAGCTACATGGGAGAGTCTTACAGGAGCAGGAGTCTTACGGGCTAGGATAGTTGGGAGAGCGGGAGTCTTACAGAAGAGTTTTCACGGGAGCGATTGGGAGAAGGAACAAAGACAGGAGAAGGAACCGACTGCAGTGAAATTTGCAGGAGTAGTCGACGACTAGGGTTAGAACCTGTCTCTGATGCCATGAGAGATTTGGGAATAGAGTAGGATGATATTATTGATAGCAGGAGGGGTATTTAAACCCAATTACGATTGACACAATTAAGGAAAGAAATAAAAACATAATAAAATGAATATGAAAGAAATAAGAGAGAATAAAACAAGCAGGAAATATATATGAGGAAATAAAATTAATGATAAGTAATAATGAGTGGGAACTACTGTTATAAATTTATTAATACACACACACACACACACACATTACATATATATATGTTCGTGTAGGTATGTATATGTACATATACATATATATGTACCGTTCGTGTAGGTATGTATATGTACATATACATATACATATATATGTACACACACACACACGTACGTATATACCTACTTATATGTGAGACCGGTGAAGATTTAGTGTGATTGATTCTTAGAGTTGAGATTTCTCATTAGCTTTTTGGGAATTTGTCGGGCCTTTTAGACCAAAGTCTCCAAGTTTTTTGTTGGATTTGAGAAGCTTCAATAAAGATTGGTCCCTCAAGTTTGGAAACTCAAATTATTTTACCTAGTTTCGTGCAAAGCCATATCTTTTTATTTTTGATAATTTTGGTACTTTGTGGAAGTCCTTTGTTCAATTGATTTTTTTTTTATCTTAGAATAAGCTTCTTATATTGTTGGGGAGTCTTTTTTTTAATCTTAAGCATGCTCTACTGGAGCTCGTCAAATTGGAGAAGTGCTATTTAGTTTGTTTAATGGGTGTTTCTTGGATGACTGTCTTATGACTTATTGAACAAGATGGTTGTTAGGGATAAAACCGTTCATATAGAATCTTGAGTCCATCCTAAGAATGTTCACCATTTGTCCATGTGAACAAGAATTTTTGCGCATCAGTGTTCTCAATTTACTAGGGTTTTGTGAACTTGTAAGTCCTCATTGCTTAATGATTGAATCTTTTGACAAGCTAGAGATGTTATTTTGTGGCGCCCACCCCCAACCACCCATGACAGTTAGCCGCACATTGTAGCAGAAAATAATTTCTGACGTGGCGCACCAGCACTTGGATAGTGCAACTGTGCCTGCAGTACGGTTCCTCTTTCTTTTGATTTAAATTCACAATTTTGAGAGATGAAAGAAAGACTCTCATGTGTGTTTCTCTTGACAAGTTTCCTGTGAAGAAAAAAAGTGTCAAAGAGGAGGATTTCGACCTGCATTTTTTCTTTTGAGATCAAGAGGAAGGTCTGGAGCAAAGTACTGCAAATCAGTTCATTGTAGAATGGAGATCTGAGGGAGTGTTCTGTGCATTTCTTTTTCTTCATAGTGGAAATTTTTGGTGTGGCTCCATGGTTTTTTTCATTTCTCTGATTTTTTCACGTTAAATTTTGGTGTGCTTTCTTCGCAATTGTTTTGTTGTCTTTTTGTTCAAATAATTTGTTCCGAATTCTTCAAATCAGTGTGATCCTATTCCACGATTTTTTTTTATTCTAATTGGATTGAAGTCCTAGTAGAAGTATAGGGAGTTTTCTATCATCCCAACAAGTGATTGAAACTTGAGAGCCTCGTATGATAATGAGAACTCATATTTGAGTTTGGAATTTAGTGTTGTCTTCTTCATAAGGGATGTAGAGACTGTAATGTTGGTTAATCTAATTGAGATTGATCTTTACCCACCCCCATCATCATGAATTGAGCTTTTGAGGATTTATAATCTGATCTGAGAGTGAGGGTGTTCATTTTTGTATATTATTCATTTGAATTTATTGGGGGAGTGGTTGTATAAATGATTTTGATGAATCATTCGGCTATAGATTTCAATAATTTTATTGATCTTTGGGGTCAGTAAGCCCTGAAGAGTATTTTTATTTTTAATTTTGGTCCAAATTTTTATTCAAATGGACTTGACTTTTAATAAATGTGATCATTGGGGGAGTTGATCCTTGTAGAGTATCCTCCTTTTAATTTTTGGACGGAGAAGACATTATTGGCCTCTTTGACTTCTATTTTTTGATAACTACTATCATTTAGTGCTGGAGCCTGGGAGCAGTATCTTTGAATTGGAAAACATTTCTTTGTCTTTTGTGGAAGTGTGGACTGCGACCTTTATTATGATTTCTGTTAATTGTGTCCATCATTTTGGTGATTTCTATACAATTCATATTTAGAAGTTCCAGATTACTTTCAGATTTCATCGGGTGTTGCAGAGTGAGAGCATTGATGTGGGATTAAAGTTGGAAGTCAAGATAGGATTTGTGTTTGTTTAATTCATAAATTCTAGCTCATAATGTTTGGGTTGTGCTTTTATTTATAAGATTAAAACTCAAGATCTATATCACCTCATTTCTTGTGATCCTAGTGAAATTATTATGCTGGCATGCCAATTGAGGTAACAAATTCACTACATCGATTCAACCATCAAAATCATTTATCTGTTTTTTTGTAAGTTTTTTTTTTGTTTGATTTAGATCATATATGGTACCTCTTGAATGATTGAACATAACCACCTTGCTATACCTCCATCACTTGATCGACTATAATCAAATGTTGTGGTACCGTTTCTCGTATAATAGCTAGATCGACCAGTTTTTGGGGAGGTTTGATTTTCTTGCTTTGAATTGTTTTTGGGCCATGGTTTGTGTCAACTTTTCCTTCGGCAGGCAAGCTCGTATAATGCAAATAAATCGTGCTTCATCGTTACACACACCCATTTTTTTATAGATTTTCCATCAGTTATAGTGTATGCATGCTTTATTTTGCATGAGTAAGTTGGGACTAAATGGTTCTAAATAGATTGAGAATTGAGGTCACTTGAATATATTATATTGAACTTATTTATTGCGTCTACCTAAAATTTTAAATTTTTTGATATTCTTGTTGATATTTTGAATTTTCTATCATATCTTGTAATTTCATAGAATATTTTTTTCACTTATTGTACTTTAAAAAAGAACAAATGTTTTGTTAAATACCTCTTTTAATTGAGTGCACAATGCGATGCTCATTGATTGGGTACATGTGATTTAGTAGCACCTTATTAATGGGATGAGAATTTGTTCCGCATGGCCAAACATTTATTACAACCGGACCACATTTTAAATCAAAATATCACATAATTCCATCTTGTTTTTCTGTCAAATCAACCAAAGGCTATATGGCCCTATCAACCTTTCAGGTGAGTGTGACATGGTCACATGCATGAGCCTAATATGGAATTGGTTGATAAATATATGAATACAAAATTATAGGTCATTCTGAACACCATAGATTTTGGGTTTGTATTTTGTATTGTGAGAGGAGATGTCTTGCTCTACCTTGTTGTATCTTAACCTTATTATTTTATCCTATTTCTTAATGAGCACTCCTTTCTACACAACCAAATAAGCTGATTTATTTCTGTGTTTATTTTGTTACATTTTCTTATTTTTACATGTTCTTGGGTGCATTTCACGTGCTTTGTCCAAAAATCTGCTCTTTTTTGTCCTTGTTAACTATACATTGACTTAGGTTTGTCACAATTTAAATTGGAGCTTATGAGAAGTGTACTAGGCTGATCAATCACACAGAAAAATATATATATTTTTTGTTGTGAAAAAAAGTTAACACCTAATGCATCACCTAATAAGAATGGCTAAAAATTAAAATGACCCGAGCTTTTTTGGATAAATGATCGACTCCAATGCTTTTTTTCGCTTCGTCATTGCCAAATAAGCAACTTCATTGAGAAATCTTGGCGTTCTGTAGTCTCTTATTTTACTCTGATGAATGGCTTAACTTGGAAGTTCATGTCTTTGTTATTGACAAGCTGCATTCGATTAGGTCTGTGGATAAGTATATGTGGAAGCCATCTTAGTTAAGCTCATATCTTGCTATCGGCAAGCTGCGTTTGATTAGGCCTGTGAATGTTCTCATGTGGAGCCCTGCTTATCTTGATTTGTGACATATCATAGAGTCAATATTGTTTTATTCTGTCTCCTGCCCTTGATATAGCTCAAAAAACCATAAAAGTCATATGAGTAGTTTGGATAGTGGGTGGTGTTGGTGGGATGGGGCGGCACTATATTCGCAGCTTAGAGAGTTATTCTATCTCCTTCAGCGAGTGGTGTTATGTTGAAACTTAGCATGGACTGAGCTTCCTTATCTTCTTGGACTGAACTTCCTTATCTTCTTGTTTGTTATGCATTATAGAACTCACCTTAAACAATCAGGTAATATAATCTTAGAAAAGTAACGATTCATGGAAGTAGTGATGACTTTATCATACATTTAGTTTACGATTATGTTTTCCTAAATCTTAAAATTGGATTAGTTTTCACAATGACAAAATACACTAATAGTTACATAGGAACGATGATACCTTCAAGATGAATTAATTGTGGATAACGCTCATTAGACTATTAGAGTTATTAAAGTCACTAATTGCGGCAGTTCAAATTTGGTAATCATAATTATAATCAGCTAAAAAGTATTTTAATGCAATGATATGAAGTCCCATGTCATAAAACCTAACTGAAAATGTCAATATAAAACTTTGTTATTCTATCATTTTCCATCATTTTTATTTTCTGGTTACTTCACCAATTGCATGGCCGTGACATAATTGCATCTAAAATAATCCAATAAGCTCTAAAGTCTTTCATTCCAATTGCGCCTTAATTAAGTTGAATTTTGGTCAGGCCATTCTTATAAGCTTGGAGAGAAGGTAGACAGCTCCATATTTGAAGAAGATCCAGGATCACTGCCAGAATCCAGTTCTAGCTCTACTTCCGAGTCTGCTAAAGAAAATCAGCGAAAAACTATTTATCGTTGTAAAAAGTGCAGAAGAATTGTTGCATTACATGAAAATGTTGTTAGTCACACGCCAGGAGAAGGTGAGACATGTTTTGAATGGCATAAGAGGAAAGGTGGAAACCCATTTAAGAGGTTTGATGAGGTTGAGTGCTCCTCTATTTTTATTGAGCCCTTGAGGTGGATGACAACAGGTATATTATTATTTATTCTTTGGAAGATTTAGGTGCATACCACTCAATTCCTATGTAATTACATATCTAACACCTAAACTTCAATTTTTACTTATATGCCACCTTAACTATGCATGAAAAGGTGTATTTCACTTTTTAAAACTCAAAAGTGGTATTTTTGAAGTAATATGAAAGATTTGGGTGACATTAATGAAAAAAAATGAAAGTTTAGGAGTGACATATATGTAAATAGATAGGAATTAGGTGGTATATATATAAATGCCCCTTATTCAATGGAAGATTTACCCTGAACTAAATCAAAGTCTTATCATACTGGTTTTTATTTGTGGTCTGCAGTTGAAGAGGGTGCTCTGGAAGGAAAATTATCATGCATACACTGTGAAGCACGCTTGGGATATTTCAATTGGTCAGGTATTCAGTGCAGCTGCGGCAGTTGGATTACTCCCGCATTTCAACTACACAAGAGCAGGGTTGATATTTGCAGTCTGTAGTGCTGTACTGTACAAAAGCAACTTTTTGGAACTTTTAAAACATCGGAAGTGTAAGATAAGCAATAAGTTTAGCTTGAGTTTGCAATCATTTGAACTTGTTGTTTAATGTCAGATCTATTATTCAGCTTCTCAACTGAGTTGTACTCCTGAATATAGTGTATTCAGCAGAGATTCTGAGCCAGTATGAGATTGGGAAGTGATTCAGGTACGCATCTTTGTTCTTGCATTTGTAGAAGTACGTACTCTCGCCTGCGGTAGGCATTGATATCTATGTTTAGCATGCATAAGCAAGAATGCTGTTTTCACTTAAAAAATGTAGTTTTTTTTTTGTTTTCTATAATGTACAATATTATTGGGGAATTTTTTTTTTTTCTAAAATGTACAATATTATTGAGGAGTATGCTTTATAATAAGTGGTATTTAGTTTAACCTTGTTCTTTATGTATCTTGAATCAGTTAAAACGTTTGATTAGATGAGCATAATCATTTTTCTCTGTATAAATGGGAATGTGCTGGGAGGGGATAACGACGGAACTCACTGGTAGCATTTGTTGGCTGCATATAGGTAAAGAAATTTAAGTTAGCTTTTCACGGTTTGATATTTGCTTAGACCCTATTTGCGATCACTTTCTTTCTTTTTTTTTTTAATTTATATTTTATATTTTATCTTTGATTTTTAAATCTTTGTTTATTTTGCTTAATATAATTTTCACATGTTTTATTTTTTATTTTAAAAAATAAAGTAACTTGTTTTTAAAAATATTCAAAGGTCACTTTCTGTTTTTTAGTTTTTATTTTGTTTTAGGAATTTTTTTTTGTTTTTTTAAACGTTAAATGAAAACATATTTGGTATTCATTTTAATTTTTTATTTTCAGAAGGCAGAAACAAAAATATATATATATTATGGATTCGTTTATAAATATTTGTCCATATTTTTAAAAGTATATTATTAATTATAAAACAATTTTCTTTCTTCAATTTTCAAATGTTGTAATTCAACTACTCTAATATTTCATTAAAGATGTCTTACGCATGATTTTAAAAAATATAACAAATAATTTGAAGCATCTAAACAAAAATAATTATGCTCTTATAGAAATATAAGATAAAGAATAAAAAAGATGTGTTTTTACACAATCAATATGATAAGAATCCAACATTTGCATGGTTATAATGCTTGGAAAATCTAATCCTCCAAACAATTGATGAATGACAGTTAATGAGTAAGCTCAATGATATGGGTGACTCCAAAAAGCTCTTGCAACCTGATCAGGAGTGAGAGCCATCTACTACAATCGAGATTAACTTTAATCTTAACGATACTGTGTGATATACGAGTTGATGTAGATGTTCTTTCTTTAGCAATTATAAAATTCTCATTTTCATATATTTTAAATAATCTATTTTCTATAGTATATGATCTTATAAAATTATATAGAGTAAAAAAAAAACAATTATAATATGTCCTTGTGAATAATTAAAAATCTTGCTTTGAGAATTTCAAAACATCGGTCAATAATGTTTATTGAAAAAGAATGAATATAGTTGAAGACTTCTTCCATTTGAGGTTGAGTGCCCTATTGATAATTATGTAGGTGATATTTTAATCCTTTGTATGGTGATAAGAAAGCTGGCATGTTGGCATATCTTGAATTAACTAGGTAATTTTTGTTTTATTCTCACCATCTGAATATATATATATAGCTTACTAAAATCAAACTTTTCATTCTGTGATTTAAAAATTGCTTGATAAAAATAAAATTAGTATTATGACATAAGAAATTTAATTCACATTCTAAAAATGTTTTAGTATTATTTATTGTTCTTCCCAACAAGATGATACCTAAGTAAATATCATATCAAATGCATATGCACATATTATATTTTGAATTAGCTTCTTATGTATTGTTCGATGTATACTTTACTCTTTCATAGATATAAATGTAATTATATGCGTTCAATCAATTGTACAAACACAATCCTATTCATATAACTTATGAGTAAAGAATCATACTTGAAATCTACAACAACAACAACAACAACAGCAACAACAGCAACAACAAAGCCTTAATCCTACTATGTGGGGTCGGCTACATGAATCCTTTTTCTCTATTGTGTCCTATTTAGTGTCATATTTTCATTTAATTCTAATAAATTAAGATCATTTTTTTATACAATAAGCCCAAGTCTTCCAAGGTCTACCTCTGCCTTTCTTAACATAAGTTGAATCTAAAACATCTACTCTCCTAATCAAATCATCAGATGGTCGACGCTTAATGTGACCAATCCATCTAAGGCGACTTTCTCAAATTTTTTCCGTCACGGGAGCTACACCAACCCTATCACGGACATAATCATTTTACATTTTGCCCCTAGTGTAAAGCCACTCATCCACCTAATTGTTCTCATCTTGGCAACACTTAACTTAGTATTGTGCTTCTCTTTTAAAGGCCAACATTCAACGCCATAGAGCATTGCAGGTCCCACCATCGTCTTATAAAATTTTCCTTTCAGTCTAAGCGGTACTTTTCCATCACACAAAAGGCCCGAAGCATTCCTCCATTTCAACCAACCAACTTGAATTCTACTTTTAACATCCCCATCTATACCACCATCGCATTGAACAACAAACCCGAGATATCTAAATTGTTCACACCTTTTAATAATTTGATCATCCAAAGTTACACTTCTGTCACTAGAGTTACTACTACTAAAATTACATTCCATGTATTCAGTTTTAGTTCTACTTAAATGAAGGCCTTTAGACTTCAATACTTCAGATCACCAGATGAAAAAATATATAAAATTCAATATATATTAAAAAAGATAATATTTTGAATTATACTTTCGATCTGAGGAAAATTAATCTTAAATTATGAAGGAATAATTATGTCAGTTTCTAAGTGCATGATAAATTGTCTTCAATGATGTTAAAAAATGACGTGAGATTGTCTCCAAATAATTTTCGAGTCCCATAAGATCTTTACTTTTCATCAAATGCACATTTTTGAAAAACTTGAAGTTCCATTTTGTAGTTTTCATAACAAGGAGTTGGATGACCTTGAAGTATCTCAACTGCTCTTGATTTTGATAACTTGAAGTTTTACATAGTTCTTTGATCAAATAACATTTGTTGTAATCATCAACACGTATAGAACAATTGCTGGCTCAAATTCCTCATCATAATCACTTTCAAAATCTGAAAGTGAATCCAAATTTTCACCTACAATTAAAATTTATATTTGCATTTTTGATCATCCGGAATTGAAATTTTAAATTATTTATAAATAAATACAGATGATATAATTAAAATAAATATAAATGAAGCCCTAAAATAATCAAACATAATGACATTTGGAGTGAAATAACCTGTATGAGTTGCCTATAATGATTCATATCAACACTTGTCATGTACTTCGTGTCATAATCCTTCAACACACTATAACTATATTAATGATTATGGCTTCTTATGGCATCCATATGAATCTAGCGGTGATAAGCATTGCTGAAAACAATAAAAAATACTAGGAATTTTCCACAACTGAAAACTCAGCTCAAGACTCGTTCCATAACCTGTGGTGTTGCTATCCCAATTATCATAAAATGTAGCTTTCATTATGTTTTTTAAGTTTAATGTCTTTGATTAAAAGTCTAGATATAAATTTTTTGAAGACTAAATGGTGAGCTAATCCAAACTTTGACTTCGAAATGTTTGAATAGTATTACATTTATCAACCTGTTCAAATTTTTGAACAAAAATTATTTGATGATGATACTGTTGCTAATGCTAGTGGTGTTGTGCTGCATTCTGTTGATCTGTTGCTCTAATTGTATGATCTGTACATCTAGCATGCTTATTTGCTATAAAGTTTGATTTTAGTGTAGAGAAAATGAGAAGCATACATGTGCTTTGTTATGGGATTTATAAAATATATCTTTCTGACAAGGGAAAGCTATATTAAATCTTCACAGTTTTAAATAGTTCCTGCCATTTTATAAATACCCTGAATTTTTTTTTTCTTCAAGTAAAATACAGTTTGAATCTAGTTATAATACTATAACAACTTGTAACTTTAAATGAACCTACAGTTTAGAGGAATTTAGAATGATTACAGATGGAATAATTGAAAGCTGCTAACCATTCAGAAATTAAGTAATTTCTTAATCTTATGTTGTCTAAAAAATTTGCTTGAAGCAAAATAAGTAAAAATCAAGTAGTTCATTAACACCTATCAAGTTCAAAAAATATAATAACTACAATAAATAAACAAGACAAGCAATAATACAACAACAACAACAACGGCAACATGCCTTTATCCTACTAAATGGGATCACTTTTTTTTTTTTTTTTTTTTCATTATCACCTATAGAGTGTCAAATATTCATTTAATTTAAATAAATTAAGATTGTTATTTATACAACATGCCCAATTCTTTCTAGGTGTACCTTTTACCTTTCTTAACATAAATCAAATCTAAAACACCTACTCTTTTAAGTGGGTCATCAGATAGTCCACATTTATGATGACCAATCATCTAAGGCAACTCTCAATCATGTCTACCACTGTAGCAACTCCATCCCTTTCATGGATATTTTTGTATCACATTTTGTCTCAAAGTGAAGAAGCATTTATCCACCCGAGCATTCTCATCTCAGCAATACTTAACTTAATTTTATGCTTCTCTTTTGCAAACCAACATTCTAGGTCATAAAACATTGCACTCAACACCATCTTACATAATTTTCCTTTAAATTCTAAGCAATACTTTTCTATCACAAAATAGGTAAGATGGATTCTTGCACTTCAACCATCCAACTTAAATTCTAGTAATAACATCCACATCCACATCATCATCATCATCACTTTGAACAATAGACCCAAAACATCTAAAATGTTTACTCCTTTTAATGACTTTATCCCCCATAGTGACAACCACGCTATTAGATCTCCTACTATTTAAATTATAGCCCGTATATTCAATTTTAGATTTACTCAAACAAAAGCCTTTAGACTCTAAAATTGACCCGTATAATTCAAGTCTCTCATGAATTCTTTCTTGTCATATCCACAAGAAGAAAATAATAAGTGAAAAATATATTTCAAGGCACATTCTTCTGTAAATGTCTAGCAAGAACATCCATAACAAACTTGAATGGAATGAATCCAAATTGACTTTGATGATTTTTCTATCACATCGCAAAATATATTCAATTACCCTCTCCCATAATTTTAATGGACGACACAATAACATAATATCTTATTGCACAATCTAGTGCATCATCTTTATTTTTAAAAATAGAATTAATATACTAAGTCTCCACTTATGAGAAATCTTTTTAGTTTTCAAAGTA